GTAATTTTTTAAAATGATGATTAGCAATTTAAAAATATTAACACTAATATCTGTATGACTTGACACAAAGAACTGGTCCCCCAAAGCAGCAGTTGCTTCACTTGAGGGCTGAAGTTATGTGAACTTTTAAGAAAGATCTTTTGATTTTTAATTATACTGCAACTTCAAGGGCTACAGTGACACTTTGAGATTTTTTTCGTGCACTTTATTGTTCTATTTATAAATTAAGATCTCTCTTAAATGTAAGCACATAAATAACTTAATCATCTGCTGAAAGACGGGCAGGCTAATGAAGTCTGCCTTGAGCTAAGGCTACCATAATAGTATTTCAAACTCTTGCACTTACTGAAGATTCAAATGAAAACATGATCAAGTACAAGCTGTAACTGGAATCCATCCATCAGCAGCGTGAAGGCTTCTTAGAAGCACATGCCACAAAGTGATGGAAGCAAACTGTGTTACTGCTATTACTGAATCAACTACAAAATACAGACACCAAAACTACATCACCCAGCAAACCAATTAATTTAGAGAAATCAGAAAGATTGTTCTGTTTAGGAGGGAAAAAAAGTCAACTGCGCATGTGAACTCAAGTGCAATAAATTTCAAGTTAGACTGAGTGGCATGATGCTGCAGTAGAATTTCGCACCACCTTACCGGACACACAAACACATCCTAGGTACAGCTGATCCACCAATTAAAGGAAAAAGAGTAACCCTACTGTACTTGGTGAAAACTGGAGAACAACCCTACTCCCTGAGAGCACCTCATGATCCTTGCAAGAGAAGTGGGCTTTCTATGCTTTTTGAGAGACTGGATGCCTCTCAGGTTGTCTAGAACTTTGTCCATATTTTAGCAATCCATACACACTTCTGAATATCACATTTCCTGGCAAAATCACATTCCAGAGACACAAAATGAGAAACTAAATTCCAGCACTCCAGAGGCTTCAGGTCTGATCATCAGGCAACACCACAGCCCAAACTTAGTGGTACTGAAAGATACAGTGCATATAAGGCATCTCTGTAAAGACTTGTCTCTCATCTCTGAAAGTTTTGAAACAAGAGGGCTGTTTGCATGACATACAGCCAGCTAGTGCAGACAGTGCAGCATTACAATTTCAAGGTTGAAGATGAGTGCGCTTATCCACAAACCTCCACTTGCAGAGACCACTATGATGCAAGAGAATGCTACAGATTCTATTGACAGAGCTGGTGATGCATCTCACTATAGTTTTACCTCAGCTAGACACACTTGATTCCATTAGAAGACTGTCATAACGCTTATCAGAGGTTATTCACGTACAAAGAAGTAAACGGATCAGACAAGGTAACATTAGGTATGAAAAACACAGGTGGGGTTTTTTTTATGTCTAGCTTGAAAAAAAACTTGTCCATCTTACAATCATTGTGATTTATTCATGTGTCACATTCAGTCTGAATTACTATGACACTCTTGAGTTTGAAAGGGGCAAAAAGGCTCCAGCTCCATCACAATGGAGGCTGGTGAAATTTAACCTCTCCAGTAGCTCCAGAGAGCTCCACTGAAAAAGCCAACCCTTACTGCCAATTGTCAAGACTGCAGCAACTCAGAACTTTGCTACAACAACCACAGTAGCTTAGTTTATAGCTCGCCAGACAATCTGTATTCTTGAGATGTGACAAAATCACAAGGACAAATCTGATGATCTGACAGTCTGTTACTTGCCTTTGTAGTACCTCAACTGCTGATTTTCTGGAAGTCAGCTCAGACTGGAGGCTAGCCACTTGCAGCTGTACAAAGATTTTCCACTGCCATCTGAAAATGGTGATAGGGAAGAAAAAGAAAAAAAACCCAAACCCAAAATACCTTATGCATGTACACTCCCAACACATCCTTATTTACCAGAGACAGAAAAAGACAAAAGTAAACTAAATCTTGTGGCTGCCGCCTGGGCAGTCACGTACTTACTTAACTACCCTACCCCTTATCCATAGCACAGTGGTCTGCAAGCGTGCAGATTCTCTTTTTTTTTTTTTGAGAGCCACAGAAGTTTGGTCGGGAGATGATGAGTTAGTTGTCCCTGTTGTTGCTAGCTGGAGAGCTCTGCTCAGTGCTGGCTGGGAAGATGCAACAAAACTGACTGCCTACAGGCAGGCAGTGTCGGGAGGACTACTCATGCTAGGCATTCCCATTTGTATTTATGTTTCCAGTTAAAGAGCTGGTCTTGTAGTGTCTGATAGGAGAGCTGGGCTGCAGAAGACAGGTAGAGAGATTTTTTCTTGATTTTTGGTCTAGGCAAAGAAGAATGTCTAATGAAGAAGAGCCAGCTGAGGTCACTAAGGAGGCTTTGTTAAAGGCAAACCCCAGGTTTGTATCTGGAATCTAGAAAGCAAAGGCCCTTTCAGGAAGGTATGGAGGGAGGATACACTTCAACATTTCCAACTTTGGTAATGCTAGCTTGGAGGCATGGCTGGGTGTGTACTCATTGTCCATGGCACCAGGGATGTGACTGGCCTTCCAGCAGAGAAAATCAGAGGAAGGACATGTGTGCTGCAAAAGGGCTATACCAGATGTAAGAGACAACAGCTAAGTCTTATTAAGAACTGGCTGAAATGGCAGGAACTTTTAAGGAGTTCTTGGATCTCCATCCAAAACACCCCTGGGCCACGAGATAAGGAGGCCTACCTTCCAACATAAGGAGGTCCTCCAGTTTGTCCTATCTCACTAGAAAGGTGTGGCAGACCTACACTGATAGAAGCTGGGAAGAAGCAGGGGCTTTATGGTATGTTAAAGGGAATCCTGAAGACATAGGTTATTCATCCAAAAATCAACTGCTTGAAATGCCTGCCATTTCAACAGCAGGACAAAAAAGTCTGATGAAGGCTTGCCTGGACGTATTGTGTCAGAAGCATGTAAGATCTGAAACCTCCAGCCAACATGACAAAGATGTCGCTCCTGCAGTATTTCCTGTCCATCCTAACTACAGATCTTCAGATACAGATGTATGAACAGGCCAAAATTTCTGAAGACGTATCTTTTGCATGCAGGTAGTCAAGGTAAACTCTGTCTCAGGACAAAGCCAACTTGGAGCAACATTACTGAGAGGAAATTAAGGGAATTTAAGGATCTGCAAGAGACGAGCCGTTGTTACAGATGTGGCATATCTTTGAGGTTTGATCACAACTTCAACATTCATTCCTTCAAGAAGTCTAGCAGACTTCCCACAGAGTTAAGCCCTCTTCAACTTGAGGGCCAACTGTTTGAGGAACAGCCAATGAAGTGATGCTCTCAGGAAAATATTTTCAAGGTACATGCTGATAGAAAATACTTCAAGTTCATATACAATTGTGAATATTCAGGAAAACGATGAAGAATCCTGTGGTAGAAGTGAAGATCCAAAGAGTGGCCTAAAGGCTGCATCTCTGTTAATAACCTGATCAGGGCCAGGGTATGGATCCATAGTAGTAAATTGTTGGCATGTTCCCTGGCACTGCATTCGCATCTATCAACTCTGGAATGCCCAGGGACAGTTTGGGGATCTATAAACAAGGAAAAATGTCTCCAGTTTCAGTGCCAGTCTCCAGTTTGCGTACCTCAGGATACCAACACCACACACTCTATTCATAACCATAGCTGGATGGCTCATGTCAGCCACTTGGAATTGGTTTCTAACGGCTCAGAAGAGAGACAAACAGCACGTGAAGTCTCCTAGCAGGGAGAAGTGTATTATGCAACAGAGAAATGGTTGTTTCCCCTTGAGTTAGTTGCCTTCTATGAAAAGAAGAAAAACACAGTAGCAAACAGCTGTTGGCATGATATGGACAATGTTAGATGTTGCAAAATGTCAGCAAGTCTCTCCAGACTCTCTAGAGGCTGTAAGAGGAGAGGCCAGAACGCTGTGTTTCATACAGCTCAGGAAGGCATATTGTACAGAACTGGAGAGCCGAGGAAACAGCTGATAGTCTCCCAGATTTTTACACAAGCTGTTCTAAATGCCATTCACAAAATTCTTTAAGCAGTCCATCTGTGGAGGGACACAAAACCAAACAAAACTTTCCAGAAATCTTAACAGCCAAATATGCACCAGGAAGCAGCAGAATGAGTCTGGCCCAGATGTCCACAAGCTCCAGACCCAGTAGCAGACATCTGCTGGTTCCTGTCCCTATGGAGTCAAACTCACCACTCAATCGATCGCTGCAGATCTCTAGCTCCTGGGGAAAATGAGGCATTTTCTTATTAGTGATTATCTCATCCAATTATGCACAAGCAGCACTAGGGCTCTAGGGACTGCAAAACAGTTGGATAAACTCAGTGGTAAGGTGGGATTTTGTTAAACTCACTAAGTCTGGGTTTTTTTCTGGAAAACTATGTATGAATTTATAAAAATTAAAGGTACCTGAATGACTCCCTGTCATTCTCCGATGACAGGCTGGGGGGGAGAATATACCAGGCCTTTACAAAAACTAACCACTGTGTAGACAGAACCAGACAGAGGGACAGATGGTTCCCCTTTTATTTACAAATCAGAAAGTCCTATAGCAGTCAAAGAAATTTTTGCCATTGAGCTGTTGAATGTGGGCTGGCCGCCTGGCTGCCAACTTTCATTAAAGAGATGTGGGAGGAACCAGCCCTGGTTCCTCGTAAGTCATGAACTAGCAGAGAACTCTCGACAGAAAATCTCTACTAAGTGTTTGCAAGAAAGGCAACCTAATAAAACAAGTAAACTCAGAAACGCTATCTAAAGAATGGAGGTAAAGTTCTGGTTTTACCCACAACAGAGAATAAATTATTGGCTGTATGTAAGGGCTGTTTGCAGCAAGCAGTCAACTTGAGCCTGTCAGTGAGATAAGAAAGATGAAGATCTTCCATACCGATCCACTAGAACAAGAAAGCAAATTTCTGAATCAGGCAAAACCCATCTGACGAAGCACAGACTTTGTTTAAAAAGTGCTGGGGGCGGGGCAGGAACCTGTTTGAAAGAGCAGAGGCCCAACAGTAAATCAAGCTGCGGAGTTAGGTCACTGTTTTCTGAAATTCTGCGAGGCAATTTCAGTTAGGTCCAGATGGGTAACAGGCTGCAGTGGGCACATGGCACTACAGGGCCCCAAAGGATCATAGTGGATCTCAAAGCACATGATACCTAAGTTAGAGTATGAAAGAAAGGGAATTTTGGCACAAGGAGAATGTTAATGATCTAATATGCTATCCTAGTACCAATAAATACTTGTACAGAAAACCAGGGGAAACTGATATGACAGACAGTTTTGAAAGCAGAATTTTAATTCTATGGTTGATAAATAGCTCATGTCCTAAAACAGTGCTGGATGGGTAAAGGGTACAAGACGTGTTAATGCACAAGAACTTACCAAAAGTTGGTTGGATATCGTCAGTTTTCTCTAAAAGGGGAATCCAAATGTAAGACAGTTTTTGGCACTTCTCCAGGGTTTACCAAATCTCAGGTGTGTCTTTTGGCCTATGTGGACTGGAATCTCAGAGCCAGCAATTAAACTGCAATCCAGACTGCTTTTTATATAAAGTAAGGAACTAGTTGAAAGCAGAACTTATGAATTTAGTCTTTGTATACTGGATGGAAAATTGCATTAGGAGTCTCTTCTCATAAGAAAGTAGGAACTGGTAATTTGAAGTGTGAAGTTATGACAAGGAAAGTAAAACAATTTAATAGTTCTCTAAACTCATCATTTGGAGCTTCTGCACAAAGAGCAAGTTGACAAAAACAATGTTAGGTACAGTTATAAAAATATTCATTAGTAATTCCTTGCACAGGGAAGGCAAAGAAAATAATTCAAACTACATCCAAACTCCTGGGCTAGAAATTAATGCTTTAGTCAGCAGTTCTAGCCATGAAAAGGTTCCCTGAAACTAAACTAGAGTTAAGATTTCTTGCTAGGGTCTCAAGTTTCATGCATCGTAAGGGTCCTAAAGAATTTCAAGGTGAAAATTTGGTGCACCTGCTGTCCAATTTCAAGAAGGAGGAGGGGGAGCAGGGAGAGGGAGAATCTTTTTACAATATAAGGAATATTTCAGTGAAATGTAGATCATCTAAAGACCCAAGACAATCCTTTCATAAGATGAAACTTCATCTCCACACATCATTACAGCTGATTCTATGGCACACATACCACAGTAAGCTTGTAAACTGCAATACTGGTTTTCAGGGAAATGTCTTTTAATCTAGCTATGATGGCTGTGCTGGAAACCAGACCGTACGGAAAATGCAGCACAGGAGGGAGATGTGGTAAAGAAGGCAACAGCAACATCAGAGGCCATGAGCAGCTGACACAGGGAGATAACTACTGACAAAAGTGGGCAAGGTCACATTGAAATGCATGGCAAAATTTCACTCCAGGTCACTGTCAGTCCCCTAGCAGAATTTAAATTATACAGCCTGTTCTCAGTTCTTAACACAGAACAAAAGGTGAAGAAAAGGTTATGCTGAGCCAAAATGTTCTCTCTGGCTTCTCTCCAGACCTATTTGTCAACAGTTTGAATAGAAAAGCAGAGGCATATGTGTTTCATAACAAGTTCCCTGCACACAAGACCGTGTTATGTTACGCATCACATTCCACTGCTACGGAAGACCCAGTATACACGTGTACACATAGCTACGGAACTGGGAAAGATTTATTCTCTGTTTTTCCCATGTATAAATAATGCTATTTCCCAGACATAAAATGAAAAGCAGCACTATCTGAGAAGCTGAGACACTGGGATTTGTCCCTAATTATTTTGCGATTTTGAATGTATTAGTAATATAGTCATTTGCCCAAATAAAGTAATTTGCTGAGGTAATCTGACCCTGGACATTGTCCCCAGAACAGATTGTAAAGATACCTGTCACTCAGACCCAGGTGGGACATATGTAAATTTAACAAAAAAACCAAAACAAACCAAAAAAAAAAAAAAAAGCAAGCTTGCTCTCTGAAACCATCTTGAAACCATCTACAAGAGTCAGAAATAAGTCTTCAGCACCGGGGTGAGTTTCCAGAAAGTAAGCAGAAATCAAACTGGCACCCAGCCAGAATATATAAAAGAACAGAAAAGAGGAGAGTATCTGTTCAGGAGAAACCAAATGATGCTAACCCATCACACAGTGTGAGCTCTGGAAAGATGTCAGATTTGCCATAGCTGGGAATAAGACTAAAAACACAGACCATCCTCTGCTAGCAAAGCAGTGAGAGGTGCCTGTGGATGAGGCTTGTAAGGTTCCCTATTAGAAGCTCATCGCGCTGCTCCAATGATACAGAAGAAGGGGCAGGACTGCCCTTCTGCAGAGAGCCATGTCAAGCCTCATATGCCTCCACAGCAGTACTTTGCTTCAACTGTGCTCATACAACCTGAGCACAGATGTTCATGTATGTAGAAGGCCTCTATCTGAACATACTCAGTGAAAAAAGTGTTCCAGCTGACGAAGCACGTACCTGCACTTGTAGATCCAATTCCTGCAGTAAGCACAGACCGTGGTATAATCTTTACTGCATACTTGAGAAACTGAGATTTCCCTGTACCGGGGTCTCCAACCAACAGAAGATGCGATTCACCTTGCGGGAAAACGTTGATGTAGGAGCAGATGGTTCATATACAGAAAAAGATATACACAAAATGCTCCGAATTAAATAAGACTTCTCATTATTCACCTAACGTTTAGTACTACACATACATTACAATATGTAATTCTGTTTAAGGCTGCACTATTTATTGGGTGTGATAAATATGTTGCTTAATAAAAGCATCCAGTCATATTTACAATGAAATATTTTAAAAGTATTAGAAGGTATTTGGCATACTTCCTGTAAGGTGAGTTCTTATATTTTAGAGTACTCATTTCTCAGACTCAACTCACTCTTGAACATGAAACAGAAGGATACCAGGATTTAGTTATCATTCCACTATTCAGTTACTTAAATTATTGTGAAAAGGACTAATAAAATCAGCATGTTGTTTTTCTTAACTAATTCTGTTACATTGCCAACAGTTACACAATTTAGTAATAACAAAACAATGCAATTACAGAAGTAAAGAATCTGGCTACTACAGTCTCACTGAAGTGCTCTAAAATTATTTGTCTTCTACAAAACATTCATACAACTTCAATTTAAATGTAAAGTCTATAACCTTATTTAGCTGCTGAAGCATTAAGAAAATCCTGTATTTCTATATACATACATATTATTTTAGAATTATTATGACCTACATAGATTATGACCTGTGTACCACCTGGCACATGGCATATTTGCCATCTAATAACAACAGAAGGAGAATCAGCAGGCGGATAACAGAACTAAGTGAGATGTGCTGACAATCACAGATGGAAAAGTCTGGCATTAGGAAGTAAAATGAATCCTTTAATTTTTCCTTTCAATGTACTATAGTGATCCACATTAAGGAAACATTAATATTCCATCCTTTGATGCCAAACACTGCTGGGAATATTCTACTAGAAATCATTTCAAAACGCCACTTACACAATAAAAAGTGAGTTTATGTCTTATCTAAAACAACTGCCTTTAATAGTCTACCTAATGGAATCCTGAACGCCTGCTCTTACTGGGTTTTATCTGGGAAAAATTAAAATAAAAAGAGGAAGTCTAGACACCCACTTTATTTGTCTGAGATTCTGGAACAATACTCAGTATTAATAAAAAATTGCTCTCACTCAAGAAAATGGGATCATTATGCTTCTGAAACCTTAGTGCTTTGATTTTGGAGGGGGGAGGGGAGCGGGTGAAGACAGGGATGGGAACAACTGTTAGAAAGGATGTGATACTATTAGAAACAATACTAACCTCTGATTCGAGTCCCAGTAGCATCAGTCCTCTGTACGCCTCCAGCAAGCACCATGGCTACAGCCAACTTCACCAGGTACAATCCAAAAACTTGAGGACATAAGCTAGCCAAAATTTCATTCCTCCCTAGAACAGGAGCAAAAAATGGCACTCAGCCCTAAGAGTAAAATGGGTTTCCCACTTGGTACACTTAAAGTCCCGTGTACACTGACAAATAATTGTCCTGTGTCCACAGGCACTCACAACTAATTTGGGTCTGCTTCCTGAACATGAGGAACAGGGCAGGGAGGAGATTTTTTTATTATTATTTTGTTTTTTAAATGGGACCCAAAGCAGTTCTTTGATCCAAATTTCCTTCATGATAAAGAAGTTAAGTCTTCCACAGTCACAAGCAGCAAAGCCAATCCCATTGCAGTTTAAGGAATGTATGATCTGGATATCATGACAAAAGGCACTAGCGAAATACCATCATGAAATTCCTTTCTATCACAGATTAAAGTGTAGGGGATATGAAGAATAAAACTTGAAGTTTCCGGACTTCAAAATATGCCCTTGAAAACTGGTGTGTTGTACATTTAAGAAAACTTAAGAAAACATCTAATAGTTGAAGTATTTTTCCCTAAAGCTGTGCACCCATAGCATGGCTCATTTTCTCATCGTTGTCTTGAATCTCCTTCTCCTTTGACCCTCTCCTCCTCCCTACCATAGTCCCTTTCCAGCAACAGAATATTTCAATCTGTTATGACAATGTTGTTGGCTTGGAAGGTGTGTAACAATTAATTCTGTTCTTTGAGATTCTGATACTAGCAGCACATAAGGGATCACAGGTTTAATGTCATACATTACTCCTATTGCTAGGGAATAAAACGGAGTGACCAATTTTGAGTTCTTTAAGTTAATGTTTTAAATTTAGATGCAAGTACATGGTGCTAACAAAATATGTAGGCACCTAACAGATGACTTGAGGCATATGTGTTTCTTCTGGATGTCTTCTGAGGGAATAAACACATCTTTGTCTGAACATGAAATTTTAAAAACTTTGGTCAGCCATAGCATAACTCAAGATTTAACTCTACAGTTGCCTCTATTTGCCCTGTCAGGTCAGTAGTTCTGCTTCTTCCTAGATAGTATCCAGAAAAAATAGTGTTACCTGCGTAAGGTCTCTCAGAGGCCTGCCATGGTAGATTTTCTCAGGACACCTAATGCACAGCATCAGGAATTGACTACCATAAAATGCAGTAGTAACTACCATTATGTCTTGAAAAACAGTAAACATATATACATCCTGTTGTGAAATGGCATACCTTAGCCTCCTTAGTCAAATTTGATCTTTGCCCTCACCTGAGGGGACTCAAATTCAAACAAACGGCCTGAAAGAGACAACTTGGGCAGTCAGGGTCCTTCTAATTTCCACCTCAATTTTCTTGTAGCCACTTCATATTAATTTATTTATTCTCAATGGGTAATATTGCATAAAACCACATTGCTCCCTGCAGGCTTCCAAAAATTGTTCTGAGAATGAAAGATTAAATGGGACCTTCAAAGAGGATCCTGCTTTACTTTCTGACCAGTTCTAACCAGGGTGATAAGAAATGTTCTTGTTCCAAACAGCAGGAAGAAGAAATGTTCTCTTTCCAAACAGCAGGAGGCTAGCAATTAAATTGCTTTCCAGGAAACGCAGTTCTGAAGAATCTTTGCCATTGACACGATCTCCAATTTCTTATGTGAACATTCTAATTTTTAAGCTGACATGTGCAACGTTCCCACCTGCTTTTCCTCCTATTTAAGAAGAAAGACTAAGCCCTTTTCAGGGTTTCAAAAGACAGAGTGTTAGTCTGAGACAGCTCAGTGACATCCTGAAAAGTCCATTCAGCTTCCTCGCAGTTCAGAAGGAGGCACTCAGATTATGGAGAGGGACAGAGTTCCAGACACAACTCCTGATAATTCCTAGACTGCAGACCACGGTAAGTTTAGGAGCCAATGTACTAAACACTCTGGTGATTCTGGAAGCCACTGTGAATTGAGAGACTCCATATTTGATAGGAGGCTCCACAGCACCTAAATCCAAGAGTTAGGTTAAAGATGAGATGTGCTAAGCTCTGTGGAAAAGATTCACAGCTTAATTTGGGATGCAGAGACAATGAGTCAGATCTCTCACCCTGGAGTCAACAGCTATGCTGACTAAAAGCAGATCTGGTCAGCACTGTTTCTTCTAAGAGGTATGCTTTCTCTTTCTTGATTATAAAATGTTTTTCTTTTTTACCTTGATACTTATATTATTTCTCATTTGTTAATAAATGTTCCACAGAACACTTGACTACAAGGCTCAAAAAAAGGAAGATCAACGCAGTATGTTTGGTACTATTTTTTTCAGTAATATTAAAGTAAGAATTTCATATTCCTGTACTGTAAAAAATATATTTTTGGAGGAATGGGTGGTGGGATAGGATAATGGGGGATAAATGTGTTCAGTCATTGTATTTTCACTCCTGATTTCATCTATATCTAAACATGTGTCCGTCTTAAAAGCTTTCAACTACTAACCTGCTAAGGGATCATTCCTATGCTTTTCCCAGAAGTCTTCAAATTCCTTGCGGACTTCTTCATCAATTACAACCCCTGCTAGCTGCTCATTGTTTACTTTAACATAGTTGGCTTTCAAAACAAGCTCCAAGTTACAGCGTGCTTCCTCGTGGAAAGGTTTCCACCTCTGCATTACCACACCATATACTGTGATGTCATCTCCTGGAGGTAACAACAAAAATTAGTAAAATAACATCTGACTTGAAATACACAGATGTGTCAGTTAACTGTAATGCATAATAATGTGATTGAGATCTTGTGTTACAGTTAATAACGTTAAAAAAAACCAACAACAAAAAGCAAACCTCCTGCAGTTACTGGAAGTCTATAACAAACAGGTAGATCGCTTATTTCTGTGGTAGGAAGTTGCTATGTCTTTCTATTTCTGTTTAAGGTAGGTGAATTCTTAAAGATACACCTCTGCTTGTTTCCTCTTTTAGAAAAGAAGAATTCACAGTAAACTGTAGAAGCTCTTCTTTAAATTAGATTTGCTATACAAAATATTTAGGCAAACCTTATTTAACTTCTGGTAACTTTTGTGATGAATTCCAGAATCATTTGTTAACATTCTGGCCACAGTGTTCTTCTGAGAAAGTACAACCAGAAATTAATTTCTTGTGGGGATCTGCCTACATCCTGGTTTTGGCTGGAATAGAGTTAATTTTCTTCCTAGCAGCTGGTATAGTGCTGTGTTTGGGATTTAGTATGAAAATCATGTTGATAACACACTAATGTTTTATTTGTTGCTGAGCAGTGTTTACAACCAAGTCAAGGACTTTTCAGCTTCCCAGGCCCTGCCAGCAAGGAGGCATGAGTCTTCTGCATGAGGTGCACAAGAAGCTGGGAAGGGGCACAGCCAGGACAGCTGACCCAAACTGGCCAAAGGGATATTCCCTACCATATGATGTCATGCTCAATATATAAGCTGGGGCAGGGAGTTGGCCAGGGGAGGACCGCGGCTCGGGAACTAGCTGGGCATCAGTCAGTGACTGGTGAGCAGCTGTGCTGTGCATCACTTGTTTTGTATATTCTTTTATTATTACTATTATTATCATTATTGTTATTATCATCATCATAATCATCATCTTCCTTTTCTGAGCTATTAAACTGTTTTTATCTCAACCCACGAGTTTTACTTTTTTCCAATTCTCTCCCCATCTCACTGCAGGGGAGGGGAGCAAGCAAACAGCTGTGTGGTTGTTTTCAGCTGCCTGCCGAGTTAAACCACGACAGCCTATCTGAGAATTTTTAGTCCATTCTTCATACATCATCCTGTCACTTAGCCTCCTTTTTGAATGCCAAGTAGCTTTTTCCACCTGCAGCACTCCTTGAGAGGTCAGGTTACCTAGGTCTCCAAACCTAGAGGGGCACCACATGCTGTGTGATGGTGTGGACCAATTTCGTCAAGAGGTTTGCTGTTCCCACACTAACAAGATTTAATATACTTTCCGTACCTCACAACACATTACTTATTGAAACTGATCTGTCAAACAGTCAAGATGTAACATGGGGATGTATGACATTTTCTGGAATAATCTTTAACTGCCATGCTAACATCCAAGCTGAAACAGCAACGTGACAGATGAACATGTCTCATTCACCTAGCCCTCAGCACTGACAGCCTACTTGGCAAAGATTCATCTCAAATGGAAAAATAAAAGTGTTTGTTGTACAAACATATGCAACATATGCTGCATCCTCACCAGACTTGCAACTGTCCACTAAGTCATCTTCCAGAACCACCACCATGCAACGAGGGATGCTTCCAACAGACAGTCTTTGAACCTAGCAGATAGGAAAGAAAAGCACTTCTTAAGAACAGCACCTTTTAAAAGCCATTTATAGATGCTCCGGCTTAAGGACCTACATTCCTTTCCTGGAACTGAGGTCAGTCCTTGCTTTCTCTCACAAAACTTACATAGTAAACATGCCACTGGTGCCATGAACTTAATAATGGAACTTTAATGCTTATATTAATGGAAAGAGGATTGGGTATTAAATTAGCTGTAGGACCTCAATCCTGGGAGGTTCTGTGTGATTTCAAGGTCTTGCTGAAGAAAGCTCACTGAAAGAGGTCATTTGAAAGAGCTGATTTTTTCTTTTCTTTTTCTTTTAATAATTTGAGATATTTTTACTTTGCATATTGAAGAAGTATCTAAACATGTCCTTGGGTTAGATAACCATTCACTGAAGTATATACTAAGAGATTATTCTCTATATTTTTCTGGTATTTAACCATAATTTGACAGACTGAGATACAAGTTTACACCTAGGTGTCAAGGATTAAACTGACAACAGGAAAAAAAAAAAAAATTGCACACAAGCAGACAAATGTATATTGACAAATGTGCCAGTAACTTCTGTAATTCTTTTTCTTTTCTCCAGGGAAAAGTCTATGCAATTTTGTCACAGTCTATTTCCAACCAGCAATCTTTCCATTTACACTTAAAGCTTGCAATAGTTTTTAGAATATCCACCGCTCAAGAACAATCAAAAGTACCTTTTCATTCTGCAGCACAGGTCATATGTGCTAGAATTCTAGATTTATTCACCCTCTAGTGCATAGGAAGGTTAATTCACCCTTGCATATTATCTAAATGGCCACAGGCAGTTCACATCACTGTCAGTACTGGTGGCACATACACAGTTACTTGCAGAGCTCAGTAGGAAACACAAGTGAAATTCATTCCCGGTTTAACTCTACTGTGTTTAATAAGCTCGTGCTGCTGAAAAACCTTCCTGTCATAGAGATCTGTGTGTCACACAGTAAAACAAAAAAAAAAGTTAACAAAACCATACGTCAGAAACAATCATTTAATGATGAACATGCAACATAGGGTTTATTCCCTAGAAATAGTTTTATTCCCTTACTTTTTTGCTATTCTGAACTTTTAAGAGCTTCATTTCTAATTTCATACATTTCTGTTTTCATACATCTTGCATGTAGGTTGGCACCACTACCCTCTTAATTTATAAAATCAAATCCCTGAAACAATCTTAGAAAAGATTTGTGAAAAAGACACTGAACATACAAATAAACACAGAAACATTACCTGCAATATACCCTACTTATTCTCAATTTTCAAACAGTATAGATTTTCCTGTGCCAGTTTTGTCTTAGTTATGCGCTACTGTAAAAAGAGGCCCAATTATTTCTTACTCCTTTAGCTGAGCTGTACTTCCACCCAGGGCTACCTTCAGAAAAACAAATGCAAATTCTATAAGGATCACATATTTAATAATCGTTGAATTCAACACTGGCTGAAGGGAATATACATTTGCAGACACCATGTACTGATTCTATTGCACTGCTACAGCTGGCCTTGGCCACCACTGGGCTAGTTTTAGTCCTTAGAAGCAGCGTTGAACATCAGCATCATGTACAGTAGGCACTTAGAGAAACAATGTACACTCGGTGTTGTGAGGATTCTACATGTAAATTTCATCTCTGCACTGACCCCGGGTGTTTCATACAACATTGAATGGAGTTAGCTAATAATGGAAGTCTAGTTAACATGTGCCTAAATTTTTCACTCTGACTGGAAATCTCTGCCCAACGGGCTGTCTGGCTTCTTTTAGTTTTCTCAGGGATTTGTTTTAAACAACAGTAGAATCTGTAAAACTTTTCCACTTTTCTTAAAATGTAAAACTTATCCAATGAAAATGGGATAAACTTAATTCTGATGTAAGCATGAACAGTCTCACTAGAACTAGCAGAGTTACCTTATTCCAGCAGGAAATTAAGCCCCCAAATGCCTTCTTCAGTGAGTTAATTCTTTTTGTACTTGAGACATCCATACCTTAATGCCCTCCCATTTTCTCAATCTTTTTTTTTTTTACCTGTTCCTGAATTTTGATTTCTTGATAGTCTCTGCAGCAGGTAGGAGAAGAGGTTGTTCCAGAGAGACATGTGAACTTGGTTGAGTTGCAGCCTTCTTCATTAAGACAGGCTGATGGACGACAAAAAGCGTAGTACTGTTCAAAGTCAGCCTTGACAACAAACACATGCTTGCATTTATTGCAGATGTAACTTCGTTCAAACTCCAAAACTTTCACCAAACTGGTACGTATGACAGTCCCAGTAACAGACAAAAAGTGACCCACGTCCCTGGTTTTAGGAATATGCTCTCGAGTCAGCTCTGGGCAAACAGGCAAACCTGTTAAACAAAAATATGTGCAGCATAAGGCTGTGCATATAAAACATGAACTTACAATGCAGCTAAAGAGAAAGACTAGAAAAAACGACAGGGATATTAACAGTAGCCATTGTTATTACTGTTTCATAAATGTGATTCAACAGTTCATCTGTTGCACTATAAATCTGTTTCACTGGCCTCAGATAGTGAAAAACATCAGACGCTGAGCACTAACAGAAAATGTTGCCATTTTACTCTCCTGCTCTTGCCAAGGGCTGAATGAGCAGTTTCCATTTGTGGAAACAGATCCCGGTGTTCTCAGATCTCTTTGTTAATTTAAATGATATTTTGGCAATTGCCACCCCAACAGCCAGTTCTGTGGTGTACTGATCCCACTCCAGTGTTCATCTGTGTGGCCACCACTTAGTACCGCTGCAGCTAAAATCCTCAGGAAGATGAATCTACCTCAACAGACTACAAAGTCTTTATAAAAGTAAATGGTCTCTGAAATGCACATCTGAGGATAGCATCAAAATATTGCCTCTTCAGAAGTTAGTATATAAACTACAAGATACTAATAATTATCAACTTAAAAAGAAATTACCTGCTCTTAAAATGATTTCTTAGCTTTACTACCAAAATAGAGCTAGGAAACACAGATGTAAAATAATAAATCTGCTGGAAAATTATGTTTCTAAGGGGACAAAAACTAGTTGTGCATTTAGGTCAAATCTTCTCAGTAGATTTGGTTGCTAAAAAGAAGACATCATATATTTATTTCAATGTTTTCAAAACCAAATGCTTTGTTTCAGACGTGCTGAAACATTCCGTTTTGATGCTTTTAAGCAAAGTGTTTGACCTTTTGCCTTTGTTTAAAGAAAATATTTTTAAATATTAAGCTAATTTTAAAAGGTAAAAGAATAAAGTTTTTTAAAAAGTAAAGTAGAAAGGAATTAAATAATCTGGAAAATAAATAAAGTATTATGTAGAACTGCAAACAATTTTTTTCTGGTTGACTGTAACAAAGCTATTTACATATTCTTCCAAACTTGTTGAAAATTCTTTTTCTCCCACAGGATTGCATTTCTGTTCAGTTCAGGCAAAAAAAAAAAAAAAAAAAAAAAGATAAAATACATTATTATTCCGACTGGTCAGGCATCTTTTTTCCCAGCTCAGTATTGCTGCAGCTGAGCAACCTTTGCAAAGTACAACACATCTTACACTAGAGAGAGCTGCAGGACTGTTGTCAGGATATATGATATGATCATCTGTGAATATTGAAGAGACAAGACTGGATGGAGAAAAAGAGCCTTCATTCTCATCATATTAGACCACTTGACAAACTCTTTGAATACGTGCCTCTTTGAATCAGCTTTACTGTATTGGTAATAATGCATAAAACTGAACTATTAGAAGCAGCTCAGCCATCAGTAACAGACAAGTGGTGCTCAGGCTAACAGTAAGCAAGGAAAAATATTTTAATGCATTTGTAGCGAAAGGAGAAATTACACAATCAAATTCCTACAATGCTAAAATTCAGATAAAGAATCTTCAGTTTCTTCAGTGAACCCAGGGTAATCATCCATTATTAATCACTGCATATTCTCACTCCCCAAGTCCTTCTTTGAACTCCTAGATGCCCTGCCCATATTGGTATGAGCGTGCTAAGATTGCATTCTTACGCCTAGCATAAGCAAAAACACTTTTCCTCACTTCAGTCCAAGCCTGACACACAGATCCCCTCAGCCTCACTCCAGATATTTCCTGCTGCTCCCACTGAGAAGAGTGCACCACCTCCTCCTCATTCCCATTTGACGTGGGAATGGGAAACTGCACTCCAAGATGAGAATCCTGAACGCAATCGGAAACCAGTATCCGCTTAAAAGGTAACAGTATCATGGAAAAAATTTGGTGGGGAAAAAACCTGCACATCATTTAGCTTACTGGTTTTTGTTTCTTCAGTAGCCGCCCTTTCTGTGGTCCAGAACATAAACAGAACTACATGGACAGATGTTCTTTTGATCCAGCTGGACCACACGAGGATAACCATGTCCTACTCTTCAACAATTTCCCTCCAGGGGATAATTTGTGAGCCTGATGATTAACTTCTTCCATCAATGATCAATCAGACTTGCTTTTATCAGTTATTAAAACTATTTGATCAAATGTGGCTAATTTTGCCTGACATTGATTAAGGAATATCCAGACAAAACATCACTGTGGGAGGAACGGTTAGCTCCAGCAACATGGAATGTCTTAAAGATACAGCTACTCATGTGGCAAACACCTGCCCCTTGCTTTACTGCTTCCAATACTTCCTAGTAACTTAAAAAATAATCATACTTGCAGTAAAAATAACCCTGTTCTCATGCTGAAGCTGTAACTGATGCAAATGCATCGGGGGAAATGCACCCTAGAACACTGGGGAAAAAGTTGTAATTTACTCCTACTTTTATAGGTACAGGGAGATGCTGGACATTTCAAATTTTTGTACAACACAGAGACCATCCTTTGACACCACATGCTCAGCAGTTGTATACAAACTCCACAACACTAAATGGGTAGCAAGCCACTTTGCCTTTTTTTTTTCTTTTCCTAAAACCCTTGACAAAATAGCATTATGACAGCCACAGGCTAATATATTTCTGATGTATGTGTTCTAATGATAATATTTTTAATGACATTTACTGGGGCAAAACACAGGTCTGTTTAACAACTGTGATTCATACAAGTTCAAACTGTCAAAAGACTGATCATAAACCACTCCAGCATGGGGTAGGGGAGGGAAACACAGGTCACCAGCTCTTGGCTTTGCAGACGAGACAACTCCACATAGTTACAATCAGAAATGACCAGAAGGGACTGTGTCACTGCTGACCCCATCTCCCTGCAACAGGCAAAATAGGCATTTTAACCCCAGAACCTGCACTACACAGTTACTACATCTCAAAACTACTAAAAATTTCCCAGTAATAAAGAATAATGGCATATTAACTTGCAGTGAAAAAAAGGACAAAATACTCTATTAAAGATCATGCCTTCTAACAATTTTATAACAAGTAATTTTGTAACAATTAGTTAAGCATAAAAATTGACAATTTCAAATTAAATTGTTAGAAGACAACTCAAAATTTAGAATTCCCTGGGAGATGGCTGGAGCCAATAAAGACCATGAGCCAACTGACACGGTTAAGGAAGTCAACCTGCAAGAAAATCTATGAACTACCTATCTTCCTTTAATTTTTTTTTTCTTTTTCTTTAGACCTTCTGGCTAACAAGAGAAACAATGTGAGACCAGCCTCTGAATTGGGGAGTCTTTTTCCCAAAGAAGGGCTGTGGTGTAAGGCCTGACCCAGCAACAAACGCCAACCATTGCACGCATGCCATCAGAGATGCTCACTGCTTTTTTCCCAGGTTGTTCTACACAACTCCATGTGTTCTTTTCTGTTTAATAAACACCAGCCATTCCCTACTGCTTCAAACACTGAAATTACAAGAATTAAACTTGCTCCTTCCCATGACGCCCCAATAGTTTGTCCAGCGTAAGGAAATCTGGCAATGCTGACCAGGAGATACCCCTGGCACGCCTCACTGTCGCCTCTACCTCACCACTCACCCGAGACCCTGGCGTGGAGGTTCTGCTTCACGCTGAGCTGCGGAGGGGCCGTGGCGGCCTGCAGCTCTGCCAGGGCAGCCCGACGCAGCGCACTGTCGAAAATTGGGAGGACTTCACTGGGGAAGGCGTTGAAATACTCCCCGATCTCCATGTTGGTCTCAAAGAGTGTCAAGGCATCGACGACAACGGGATAGTGCGCCTCGTCGTCGGCCTCCCTCAGGATGCCCAGGATGTCGTCCCTGTGGTGCTCCAGCACGTAGGACTCGAACACCTGCCCGATGAGGTTCACCTGATCTGCGCTCAGCACCATGTTGCGCCTACATGCAGGGGGGCGACAGAAAGCGGTCACAACGCGAGGTTTGCTGGTAAGGTCTGGCGTCAATCGCAAAACTTAACTTTTCACTCGGAAAAGCCCATGACGGAGCCAGACGAGAGTAGGGCGGGGCTGGCGCGTGCGCGGCTAACGAGCTTGGGCAACGACACCTCGCGACAACGCGCTCCCACTTGCCGCGTGCCCGGCCTGATCGTCTCAGCCACCGCGCTCGCGCCGCC